CTGGAGGCTGAGGCAGGAGGATCCTGAGACAAAAACATACCCCTCAAAACAAGGCCAGCTACATCCCAGAATATTCACTGCCGAGGCTGGTTTCGCTCTTTGCCGTGTTTCCAGGCAGTGACTAAAGCCGCGTGAGCCCTGCAGCGGCTCCTGCCTGGCTCCTTCCTAGGTTCTCATCTTAAACAAACAGTCGATATTTTCTGATTGCAAATGCAACGCGTGTCTATTGAGTTTATTGGAAAATACAAAAGTAATGGGAGAAAAGACGAAGGAAGGGAGGAAAGGAGAGACAAAAGAAGAAGGGAGGAAGGAGGCCAAGTGTGGCGATGCATACGCGTGGTCCCAGAACTCAGGAAGCTGAGGCAGGAGGATCACAAGTTCCAGGCCACCCTGGGCGATTAAAAAAAACCCATTTGGAAAAAAATTGTGGAAGAAAAAGGAAGAATCGAGGAAGGGAAAGAAGGAAGGGAGAAGAGCCTGGAGATTACTGTGAATAGTTTGCTGCCTTCTAGTGAACCTTTTTCTAAAAAATCAGATTGCAAGAACTTGCATACAGTTCTGTACTTAGTTTCCCACTCAACAAAATAGTATTTTCCCAAATATTTCAATCCATAACTGCATCTTTAAATATTGCTGAATATTTCGCTTTCTCAGTAAGTCTTAATTTAATTAATCTGTTATAAAATATTCAGATCAATTCATAATTTGTTGTGTTTTAGGTAACAAATATATCCTGATACATAGTTTCAGACTATTATTTTGGGGAAAAAAATCCTTAGAGATAGGTGGATTTGCGAGAGAATTCTGTTTATCTTAAAAGCTTTGTTGGTTTGGTTTTGGTCTTTCTGAAACAGGATCTCACTATGTAGCTCTGGCTGGCCTGGGACTTGCAACCCCCCTGCCTCAGCCGCCCAAGTTTCGGGGTGTCACTGGCGCACCATCACGCCCAGCTGTTTTCAGCGCTCTTTTTTTTTTTTCGACCATCATTTTTGTACCCTTTATTACCTTAAAACTTGGGATAGAGCCAGCAGAGCAGTTTATT